TCAACAAACACCTGGCCCTTTGGGGAGACAGCCAGCTTCAGACTTTAGAGGTAGTTTGTAGTACACTCCTGTAATCCCAGAGCTCGGCAGGAGACTGAGGATCATTGCTGTGAGTCTGAGGCTAAGCTGGGCTACACAGCAAGACTCTGTCTCAAGAATAATTTACAAACTAAAACACCCTTCACCAGGTGACTAGGAGCAGCTGGGTTTAGTGCACACACCAATAATCCCAGTACTCGGGAGGCAGAGTCAGGCAGAACTCTGAGTTTGAGCCCAGTCTGGTCTATATAGAAAGTTCGAGGATAACCAGAACTACATAGACAGACTCTGTTTCAAAAAAAAAAAAAAAAAAAGTAACTAGATGAATTAACTGTGGTGTATTCATGAAATGTAATATTATTCAGAAACAAATGGAAATCATATATCTAGCATAAAATAAAATAGATAAATCTCTTTAATTTTAATTATTTTATATTTACTGGTGTTTTGCCTACATGTATGTCTGTGTCTGTGCCCCACATGCATGCCTGATGCCCTCCGAGGGCAAGAACGGGGATGAGACTGGAGTTATAGATCACTGTGAGCCTCCACATGGTACTGAGGATTGAGCCTGGGTCGTCTAGAGGAGCAGCCAGCGGGAGCTCTTAACTGCTGAGCCATCTCTCTCCAGCCCCATACAATGGCATAGCTAAATCTTAAGTGCATGGCGCTAAGTGAAAGAAATGCCTGAAGAAGCTACAGCATGGATGATTCCGATTGTGCAGCATGCTAGAAAAGGGAAAGTACCCTAAGACTGACAGGAGACTAGCTTTTGGGCTTAAGGAAGGGTCTGGGGGCGGGGCGGGGTCAGCAAGTCTAGGCAGTGTTTTTAGGAGAGTGAACCATTTCATATGATTCTACCAGGGTGACTAGAAGACACTGAATATTTGTCAGTGAGCAGACTTCAGCTTGCATACATTATAAAAGTCCATCTAGGAGGGCAGTGATGGTGCAAGTGTTTAATAATCCCAGCACCCCAGAGGCACAGGCAGGTGGACATCTGAGTTCAAGGCCAGCCTGCTCTAAAGAGAGAGTTCCCAAATATCCAGGGCTACACAGAGAAACCTCAGCCCTCCCTACCTCTCAAAAAAAAAAAAAAAAAAACCTCAAAGTTCATCTAGGAAGTCAGCAAGCCCAGAATCTAGTTGTTTCACAGACACAGAAGGAGCACAGTGGGAGTGGACCACTGCTAACCTGGAAGGCCAAGGGCCAAGGCAGTGAGCATGCTCCCAGGGACGCATAAATTAGCAGCTGGGAAACCCAGGCTCACAAACAGGCCACCCCCACGGTGGCATAGACCTAATGTTCGCTCCCCTCCTGACCCTGACCCAGACCTACTCCAGCTGGGACTGAACATCTGGACTAGAGGCCTTTCTGTGGTGGGGGGGCACATTGACCTCTGGGGGAATCCATGAACACTTTTAGTGTTGGGAGACACGCTGTGATTAAGACCTTCTCTGGTGGCCTTCACCATCCACCCACAGAGGCTTGGGTGGGGCTTGGGGGACAGTGGGCAGCAGACCCTGCCTGCTTTCCCCTCGATTTTGGTGGTTGCCACCCCCAGTTCCTGCAGAGACATCTCATGCGTGATGCCATCTGTGTCGGCGTCTGGAAAAGCCACGGGACTGGAGCTATAGGCTTGGCAGCAGGGATCACTTAATTGAGGATTAAGGATTAATTGGGATCTGCAGATGGGTGGTGCTGAGGCTGCTGAAGCCAGCCCTGGCACCTCAGAGTGCAGATTCCAGGCTGCTGCTTGGGGAACTGGGGTGCCTGCATGCTCCACTGAGACCACCTTGCGAGGACCAGTGTGCTCCCAACGCCTTGGTACTTTATTTTATTTATTGTATGTGTGACTCAGAGGTTGGGGGAAGAGGTTGTCTTCCCCAATCACACTCCTCGTCCTCAATATTATTAACATTATAGACTCTATGTAATCCTGCCTTTGAACTCCCTATGTAGACCAAGCTGGCCTCAAACTCACAGAGATTTTCCTGCCCCAGTCTCCTAAGTGCTGGGATTAAAGGCGTGTGCCACCTTGCCTGGCTCTCTCACTGAATTTGGAGCCCCTGTTTTGGTAGGCTGGCTGGGATTAATGGTGTGCACCCCCACACCAACTGCTCTTCTTCTGCTTTTTGAGTCAGGGTCTCACTATATAGCTGAGGCTAGCCTCAGACTCCTGCCTCTGCCTGAATCTTGATCTTGGGCTTCTCAGTTTCTCGACCTGAGAGTGTTAAATTAAAATGTCTCTACAAACCAGGTTGCTGTGGCGCACACCTTTAATCCAGCACTCAGGAGGCAGAAGCAGGTGGATCTCTATGTGTTCAAGGCCAACCTGGTCTACAAGAGCTAGTTCCAGTCAAGTCCAAATGGATCAAAGACCTCAGTATAAAGCCAGCCACACTGAACCTCATAGAAGAGAACGTGGGAAGTGCCCTTGAACGCATTGGCACCGAACTGAGAGCAATAATTAATAAACGGGGCCTCCTGAAACTGAAAAGCTTCTATAAAGCAAAGGACACGGCCAACAAGACAAAACGAGTGGCTGGAGAGATGGCTCAGCAGTTGAGAGCATTGCCTGCTCTTCCAAAGGTCCTGAGTTCAATTCCCAGCAACCATATGGTGGCTCACAACCATCTGTGGTGAGGTCTGGTGCTCTCTTCTGGCCTGCAGGCATACACACAGACAGAACATTGTATACATAATATATAAATAAATATTAAAAAAAAAACAAGACAAAACGACAGCCTACAGAATGGGAAAAGATCTTCACTAACTCCACATCAGACAGAGGTCTGATCTCCAAACTATATAAAGAACTCAAGAAATTGGACACCAAAAGATCACACAATCAAATAAAAAAAAATGGAGTACAGACTTAAACAGAGAATTCTCAACAGAGGAATCTAAATGGCTGAAAGACACTTAAGGAAATGTTCAACATCCTTAGTCATCAGAGAAATGCAAATCAAAACAACTCTGAGATTCCATCTTACACCTGTAATAATGGCCAAGATCAAAAACACTGATGACAACTTATGCTGGAGAGGTTGTGGGGAAAAGGGAACACTCCTGCATTGCTGGTGGGAATGCAAGCTAGTACAACCCCTTTGGATGTCAGTGTGGCGATTTCTCAGAAAATTAGGAAACAACCTTCCTCAAGACCCAATAATATCACTTTTGGGTATATATCCAAAGGATGCCCAATCATGCCACAAGGACATGTGCTCACCTACGTTCATAGCAGCTTTGTTTGTCATAGCCAGAACCTGGAAACAACCTAAATGCCCCTCAATCGAAGAACAGATAAGAAAAATGTGGTACATTTACACAATGGAGTACTACACAACAGAAAAAAATAATGACATCTTGAATTTTGCAGGAAAATGAATGAAACTAGAAAATATTATTTTGAGTGAGGTAACCCAGACACAGAAAGACAATTATCACATGTACTCACTCATAGGTGGTTTTTAAACATAAAGCAAAGAAAACCAGCCTACAAACCAAAATCCCAGAGAACTTAGCCAACAATGTGGACACTAAGAGAGACTTACATAGATCTAATATACATGGGAAGTAGAAAAAGACAAGGGGGGCTGGAGAGATGGCTCAGAGGTTAAGGGCATTGCCTGCTCTTCCAAAGGTTCTGAGGTTCAATTCCCAGCAACCACATGGTGGCTCACAACCATCTGTAATGGGGTTTGGTGCCCTCTTCTGGCCTTCAGGCATACACACAGACAGAATATTGTATACATAATAAATAAATAAATTTTTTTTTTTTAAAAAAAGGAAAAGAAAAAGACAAGGGTTTCTCTGTGTAGCCCTGGCTGTCCTGGAACTCACATTGTAGACCAGACTGGCCTTGAACTCACAGAGATCCATCTGCCTCTATCTCCTAAGTGCTGGGTTTAAAAGTGTGTGCCACTAACACTAGGCCCAGTTTTATTGTCTAAAGTCAATTTTCAGTAATTGTATATTGAAGGAAACCCTGTCTCAGAAAACGAAAACAAACAAACAAAAAATGGCATTAGATGGAGACCTACAGCTTCCCAGCATCCAAGAGCTGTGAAGGCTCTTTGTGTGGTGATCTGAGTGTCTAGTAGAGTGAAGATTTAGGTTAGGGATACTAGTAAAGGAAAGGACAGCTAGTTAGGGCAAGAAGGTCCTGATTCCTGCTAGGAAGGACCTATGCTTTATGCTGACCTAAAAGACCCCCAACCCAGACTGTCCATTAGATGGGCCTTGAATTGGGCAGGGCTGACCAGTCCTATTCCCTTCCCACTGTGCTCAGGAAGTTCAAGGCCAGCCTGGTTACAAGACAGCCAGGTCTGTCTCGGAAAACAAAAACAATCAAGCAAACAACAAAAAAAGAAGTCCTAGCTATCAGATAGAGGCACAGAGTGGGGGGCTTCTGCTAGCTACCATCATCCTGGAAGCTCTGAGCAATGCTCCTCCCAGCTGTGGCAGTAATACATACATGACAGAACTGGAGAAGGGCTCTGTCCTGGGCATCTTCAAGCACAGAACTCAGAGCACTGATGTATGCATGTACGTGTGTGTGTGTGTGTGTGTGTGTGTGTGTGCACCTGCATGTGTTCCTCTCTGTGTGTGGTTTTTGTTTTCGCTTTTGAGACAAAGTCTCCCTAGGAAGCCCTAGCTGGCCTGGAACTCACTTTGTAGAGCAGTCTGGCCTCAAACTCAGAGACTCATCTGCCTCTGTCTCCTGAGAGCTGGGATTAAAGGTGTGCACCACCATGCCTAGCTCAGCGATACCTTTTATCACTTCCTTTGGACTGGATCCAGGATCCAGAGAGGAAGAAGAGGGGATCTCCATACCCCCCTGAACTCACAATTGAGGTAACCTGTGGTTAGAAGGCCAGCTCCAGGGGTTGACTTTTGGGGTCACATGCCAGACCTCCAGGATAAGCAAGTAGGAAAAACTCTGTCTCACAAGCTGGAAAATGCTTTATTGTCAGAGAACCAGGGAGAGCTAAAGGTGGTGACAGGAGAGGGCACGATGCCCAGCAGGGGTGGGAGGAGGCACACAGTCTGATTCGTAATGAGTTTCCAGGAATACATGGGATCCTCTGCGGCTCAGCAGCTGTGGTCCTCCAGGCTGGTCCACTCCAGCTTCTATACAAGCTCACCGAGACATCATCCGAACAAACTCTGCCAGGACAAGGGCAAAGTTTCAGGTCTGCCCTCCTGACCCCATCAGGGTTGGCAGATCTGCCTGCTCAAGAGTGGGCTAGAGTGGGCTTGAGGAGCCCTTCAAAGGCATCTGAGAACCAGGAGGAGGGGCCTCAGCTGCCCAGATTACAATCTTGGCTCTCCCTAGTTCCTTATCCTAAGTAAGTACTTTAGCTATCCTGAGAACTGACACGGATTTCTTCTCTCGCCAGTAGGGAGTATAATAGCCCTGCCTCCTTGATCCTCCAATAATGTTTAACCCGGGTCTGTTTAGATCAGAGTTTCTCAACCTTCCTGACACTGTGACCCTTTAATACAATTCCTCATGTTGTGGTGACCCCGACCATAAAGTTATTTCCATTGTTACTAATTTTGCTATTGTTATGAATCCTAATATAAATATCTGATATGCAACCCCAAAGAGGTCAAGGCCCACAAGTCAAGAACTGCTGGTTTGGAATCTTCAGGGCATATTCAGCTAAACAGGGGAGGCGTTACCTTCAAAGTCAACCAAGCCATCTCCATTGAGATCGATGTCTTGGAGTATCTCATCTACCTCCCTCTGGCTGAGGCGTTCCCCCAGCAGAGCCTTGAGGGCTGCCCGCAGCTCTCCCACGCTGATGCAGCCATCTCCATTGGTGTCAAACTGTGGCAGCATCGATGGTGGCATGGGGTCACCCTTAACTCCTGCAATCTCACAGCCTCACCCACCCTCTACCCCTCCCACCCCGGCGCACCTCCCGGAAGGCGTCTCGAAGCTCCCTCACGCCAATCATATCCGCAGTCTCTGCCAACAGCTTGGGACCCATCAGCTCCACAAAATCTTCAAAATCCACCTTCCCACCACCTGAGGGTGCATTCATCCATGAAACACTCTGGCCTAGCACCTGACCTGCCTTCCCCAGCCCACCGCCTTCCCTCTGGCCCCTGGTCCCTTCTTCATGGCACTGGATGGCCTCTCATCCCTGGGTACCAGAGGCTGCGTCATCTGCAGCTACTGGTGAGAATCATCCTCAAGCAGGCTCGTAAGACTCACTGTTCTTTCCCGAGCCTGCTCTGGACAAAGACTTCACCTCTCTGAGCTTCAGTCACTATTGGTAAACGGGTCGGGGGAGGCAGGAGAGGGTCGTGTCATCCTCGCCACTCTCCTAGTAGATTCTTAGGAGGCAGCTCTCCTTTAAAGACAGTTATGCCCTGTGCTCTTGGGACAGCACATGCAGCTACCTCAGGTCTGGGCCGGGGCTGAAGTGCGGGGGTGGGGAGGGTCTGAGGCACGGGCTGAGGCACGTACTGATCTGCTGTGATATTTCAATGAGCTCCATCTCTGTAGGCATGTAGCCCAGCGTCCGCATGCAGGCACCCAGCTCCCGGTAGCCGATGTAGCCATCCCGGTCTCGGTCAAACTCCTGGAAGGCGACCTGCAGCTCTGTCAGGCAGAGTGAGCTTAGTCCTTTCCAAAACTCTCCCTGGCTGCCAGCTGGGACCAGCCCATCTGTCCCCTTTCTTCCAGTCCCTTCTTGCTCTTAAGCCTCAGTTCCTATTTGCTGTCTTAGGGCTTTTGCACATATGGTCTTAAATTTCTGTTCTCATGGAATGTTTGGGAAGCATCTACTTTGTGTCAGTTTCTGCTCTAGGTGATTAAAAAGAGAAGGGAGGGGGAGGGGAGGAAAGCTAGAAAAGCTCTGAGCTCAGGGAGATTCCTTTCTTCCCTTCTCGGCTTCAGTGTCACCGACTCCAGGCAGGCTTCTCTGCTATTTCTTCTTCTCCAGACCCACACAGCTGCCACTGTAGCTATCTCCAGAAGGCGGGGCCTTATCTATTGGTTAGCAGTGCTTCCTGGTTCTCAGTGAGGGGCCAGGCCCACAGTGGACAGCCAGGAAGTTGCCAGGCAGAGGAACAAATATGAAAGAGGCCCTTGACCAGTGTGGTCACTGAGACCAAGGGGTTGGCAGCCGAAGAAGGGAGGGTTTGCCATCCCTTTCTGCCCAGTCTCACCCCATAACCTTCTTACCCTTCCTGGACCCTGCAGAGGCCCCAGCCCCAAACCTCCCCTTCTAATCTCCATCCATGCCCCACCTCGACTAGCCCCTCCTTGAATTCTTTCTTTACCTTCAATCTCCTCTGGTCTCAGCTCCCGGTCCTGCAGGCACAGATGGCTTAGGGATTCCTTGGCACACCCAGGCCTCAGCACCTTCCTTCTGTTTCTTGGGTTCGTCATCCAGCCCACACCACAGCATACCCAGGGCCTGCGACTTACTCTGCCCAGTCCTGCTCACCTGCCTGGGTGTCTTGGGGTTCTCTTTTCCTGTAACCTGCCAGGGGACCCTCAGGACCCCTGTTCCTACACTGTCTTTTGAGGTACATAACTCCTTTTGACAGAGGTAGATCCCAGGGTCAGACAGAACGTCATACGCAACCCAGCTGTCCTCAATGTCACTGCAAGTCGGCTTTGCCCACTGTCCCTCTCCTGAGAACCCTGCCATCTCCAGCCATCTTCCCTTGGAAGAACTTACTTTTCTGTTTTTGTAGGCGTGACCCTGGTCTTGCTAAAAGCAAGTGCTCTGTCACTGGGCTGCACCCCCAACCCTTGGGTGGCTGTTTCTCTGGGTCCCTACCCACCCCCCATGCCTGGTATGGATCTAGGGGCTCCCTGAACTCTTAACTTGTTCTGGAGCTACCGCTCTGGCCCCAACCCCGGGGTTGCGTGTCTATCCTCTGACGTCCTCTCCGGCCTCTCCCTCCTATTCAGGGAGCGATGAGGCGAAGGGACCGGGGCAGCAGGCTGGCAGAGGAGTGACTGTACATACGAGCTGGGTGGCGGCGATGCTGGGTCGAAGGAAGATGCAGGCTGGCCCCACCAGACTGCCAAGCACCGAGTAGCCCTGGGTGCCCTCCTGCTCCTCAGCTCTGGGGCTAGGGCCGGGACTGGGGCTCCCTAGGGGGGCTCCAGGCCACTGCCAGTGTTCCTGTGGCAAATCCAGCCATAAGCCGAAGCAATGTCCCCCCCCCCCAGCCCCTCTCCAGCTCCGTTCTCTGGAGCCCAGCCCCTGGCAGAGGGGGCGGGGCCTCTGAGTACACAAGCCCCATTAACTCTCTAGGCTGGAAAGGTTCACCCCTAAGAGGTGAGGGCCTCTCCCAGGTCCTTGAGGAAACCTGTAGCCTGTGGCCTCTAACTCTGGTCACCCTGGCCACGGCTGAGAGAGTAGGGCCTGCCCAGAACGGGCAGCTGGACTATTAACTTAGCAGGGGAGTCCCAGCCAAGATCAGAGGGGCTGTTTGTCCAGAAAAACATCTCCTTAAGAAAAGCATACAGATGTCCCCTCCATCTCCCCTGGAGCCTGCGGACCTCTCTAATCCAGCCCAGTACTCCTAGGTCTCTGGCTACTGCCTGCCCAACACACGGGGCCACCCAGGTTTCTGGCCTTAGGTTTCCCCTTCATCTTCCTACCTTAGGCCCCCGGCGCCAGGGCCGCTTGGCACAGTTCCCCATGGGTCCCTGAACCATGCCAGGCCCTGAGTCCTGGGAGGATGCTGTGGATTCTGCCAGCCTCCTGCTGTTTCCAGGGACAGCCTGGGAGCACTGGAGAGGATTTTCCTGGGGTTTTGTGGGCAAGATCAGGGGCGGGTGGGCAGGCGGGGGACCCTGGGCCCGGGGCTTGGGCCCTAATCCAATCCCGGATTATCTCAGAGAATCTCTGCAAGTAGGGGGTACTCAGAGTCAAGGCCCCCTGGAAGGCACAGCCTCTCGGAACTTCCTCAGGAGGGTCTTCTCCTCTTAGCCTTGCTCTAATCTCCCCAATCAGCACCTTCAGAAGCAGGCTTGGATCCCCACAGAAGGAGCTGGCACCCCATGCCTGGGTCAGCTGGAGCCCAACTCTCTGTGGCAATTGGGGACTGGAAGATGAGTCTTCGGAGAGAGAGCCTACCCGCTTTTACCTTTGGCCGGTCTGAAGTCTGCGGCCAGGACCCTGTCTCCATTCAGGGCTCTTTCACCCTGTCATTGGACCAGTGCTCGATACCTTACATAAAGGATCACTCTGGGTACTGGATCCCTTCGTATCCACAGAGATGGGTCCCTAACTTCTCAGCCCTCTGATCACCTGTATATGGACTTGGCCCTGGGGCTGTCTTATATCCAGCTGGGATGTGGGCTCCCCTAAAGGACAGTTCCTGCCCCTTACCTGCCCATAGGCAGCCTGCACCTGGGCCTCCAGCTCACGGAGGAGGGCCCGCCTGCGGGCAGTGGGGTTGGCTAGGTCCTGGCTGGGTCCTGGAGTGTTTGTGGATGGGATGGAGTCCCCTTCAGGGAGGCTGCCATCTGCTGGGCCCTCAGGCAGGGCCATGGCCCTGGGTGTAGCACCTTTTCTGTTCCTGCTGGGGCTGGTTGACCTGCAGGAAGGAAGCTCAGAGGGAGGTGTGGATACGGTTTCCCTTTTGGTTCTGGGGATTAGTAGAGCCCAACTCCCCTAAAGTCACTATCTTCTTCCATTGCCCCTCATGTAGCCCATTTCTGAAATCTTCATCTTTCTCCTATACCACTTTCTGGCCTTCACAGACTGCACACCAGGTCTCCTTGCTGACCCAGGTGGCTAGGCTCCTTCAGCCCCCATGTCCTGCTGACTCATCTCTGGCTGGTGGTCTGAGCATGCTCCGTATCCTGCTCATTCTCCATCTGCTCTGTCATGGTCTAGCACTGTTCCCATGACCCTCTGGCCCTCTCTCTGTGCCTTGACCTTTCTCCGTTCCCCTCAGCCCCCCATCCACTCTCCTCAGCCCCTGTCTGCTCCCCTCAGTCCCTTTCACTGATGCTCAGAGGCTCTTTCTCACCTTGCCTTGTCTGTCTGCCCTTCCTACTCTTTTACTCCAAGATTCTGGAAAAGCATGCCACCTGCTTCGCCCTCCCCCACCTGGAGCCCCAGGACACCTCTGTTTCAGCCTCTGTCTCCTCACCTCTCCAGTGACCTTCAAGTTCCTCTCAAGGAACAAGGGTGGAGGTGCCACAAAACCCCTTCCCCCTTGCCACACCCCAGCCACTCACCACGCAGTTGCCTACGCCTCACTTCCAGAATGAGGTCAGCTGTGGCCTGCTGGCCTGCTGCAGGCCCCTCATGATTTATTCACCTGCCCTCTGCACCAGCCTTTGTCCTAGGGAACCAGATCCCACGCCATGTCTGCCATCTGAGCTGGCGACTCTATCATCCACTCACCGACTGGCTTGCAAGCATCAAGGCTAGGGGAGGGGGAAAGAGAGAGACTGGGCCTCTAGGTCACTCAGTAGAGTGATTGTCTAGCATGTAGAAAGACTCTGGCCTCAATCCCCAGGACCGAATAAACCAGGCATTGTGGTATACACCTGTAAAACACCCAGGAATGGAGGTGGAAGAATCCAAAGTTCAAGGTCATCCTTGGGTACACGGTGAGGTCTAGACCAGCCTGGGTGACGTGAGACCACCCTGGTGTCTAGTCCCAGGCTGGGACCACATAACAGACCCACCTGCCCTAAGAACTCCCGTTTCCGGTGACTTGAACTCAGACAAGGGCCCCCAAACAGTCTGTGATTGGGAACACCCACCTAGGCAGGGAAGAGGAACACTTGGATCTAGCTGTGTCCGCTGGTGTCAATCTAGTCCTGGTTGAGGTTAACAGTCATCAACAGTGACCCAGCAGTGTCTGGGTGCTTACGTAGCATTGGGCAGAGCCCTCAGGAGGCAGGCAAGGGCATCAGTGCCCTCTGTAGAAGGTATGGGCAGCAACAGATGGGGGCATCAGAGGGTGGTGTTGGTTGAGGATCAGCTCTGAACCCTCTGATCCTGGGAGCAGTCAGCCAGCCTCACTTCTGGAACTTTTGAGTTGGTAGGAGCAACACCTTCAGCAATGTAGGACTACAGTTGATGGGAAATACAAGGAGAGTCTCAAAGACTGTCGGAGAGAGGCCTTGCGTGCTTGGAGACAAGGTGTCTGGGAGCAGGTGGCCTCCGCGAAGAGGAAACTCTGAACACAGCCTAGAGGAAGTTCTGAGATCTGAGACGGGCCAAGCCTGAGAGGTGTGTGGACTCTGGCCAGGCGGTCAAGGTTGGGAAGGGCTTGTTATTGTTCACAGCAACTCCGCAAGTGGCTCTTCAGTCCCTCTGTGCCAGGCAAGGCCACCCTTGAAAACATCCCCCCTGTTCTGCAAGAGGGGCTGTCAGGGCTGGGTCCCCGGCTTTGCCTCCTGTCCCTCTTTTCATTGTTTAATTTCATTGATTAAACTCAGGGCCTCAACGTGCCAGGCAAATACTCTACCAACAAGCTCCATGTCCAGCCATTTCTCTTCCCCCTTTTTCTTTCTCCTTTCCTTTTGTCAAGCACCTGGGATTGTAGGCATGCACCACTCAGTGATTTATCTGAGTAGTCCTGGCCGTCCGGAACTCACTCTGTAGACCAGGTTGGCCTTCAACTCACAGAGGTTTGCCTGCCTCTGCCTCCTGAGTGCTGGGATTAAAGATGTGCGCCACTACCCACACCTGGCTTATGTGGCTTTTTTTTTTTTTTTTTTTTTGAAGCTGACTCTCAAGTAGCCCAGGTGCCCTTGAATTCTCTATGGAGTGGAGGATGACCTTGAACATCTGAACCTTCCACCTCCAGAATGCTAGGATTACAGGCAGGAGCCATCATGCCTGGTTTACATGGTGCTGGGGATTGAGCTCAGGCCAGCTTTATGCATGGCAAACACTTTACCAACTGATCTGCATCTCCAGACCCATACAATGGAGTCATTTTCAGCCATAGTTAGAAAGTATTGATGCATACCAATACGTGGATAGACTGTGGAAAAATGCTATGCTAAATGAAAGGTGTCAGAAAGACAAAAGATGAATACTGTCGGGGTCCTTCCATGTGACACGTCAGAAAAGGGAACCGCTGGTACCCTGGTGATGTGGGGTCACTGCTAATGGGGACTTTTGGCTCAAGAACAATGTTCTGGACTTGGACAGTGGGGACAATTACTCAATGCTAAATATAATAAAACCCCCAGAACATTCATTATATACAGGTGAATTTTATATAAAGCTGTATATCTTTAAATTACCCTAGAAACAGGTGTGGACACATAGCCTGGAGGTTGGGGATGGACAGAAACAGCTTGGCCCATTGAAATGTCAAGGATCTGCTTCTGGGACCCACAAGAGGAGGCCCTGGGGTGGTCCCAGAGCCAGGTCCAAGTCTGGGCTTGTAGAACCAAAGGACTGTGATCTCAGGCAGTCGCATGGAACTCTGTAAGGCAGTGGTTCTCAGCCTTCCTAATGCTAAGACCCTTTAATATAGTTCCTCATGCTCTGGTGATCCCCACCATAAAATTATTTTTATTGCAACTTCATAACTGTTTTTTTGCTAGTTATAAATCATTAAGTAATGTAAGTAGCATACCCACAGGCTGAGAACCACTATTCTAACAGTACTACACAGTCTGATAACCAAGTCTTTACTACACTGACCTCTGGGGTCACCTATTTGAACTATAGCACCTGCTTTCCAAAGTCTGCGGTGCTTCCACATAATGCAGGAATGTCTGGCAGGCACCATGTCCCATCTGCGTAATGGCAACAAGCCTTCCTCCCTCCCTTCCTCCTTAACTTCTTCCCAGGGTTGCATGGGAGATGAAATGGGATCGTCTATGAAAGCTCTTAGTAAGCGGCTCGTGCAGGGCAGATGTTCCTCCAGCTGTGAGCCAGGGATGAGAGCCCAGCTCTGGCACCACCTCCTGCACTTGTTCCCAGCCCCACAAAGCTGAGGGCTCACGGGAGAGGAAGTGCTTCCCGAGCAAGAGCCTTGGCTGTTGGGGTTCTCCTGATTGGGGTAATTTTGGTTCTTCCAAGTGCTAGGTGGATGATTCTACACCTCCACTTTCCTTAAGGGACACGGCAGGAGGAGGTGAAGGGGGGGCTGGCTAGAGTCCTGGGCATGCCATAGGCCGGAACTTCCCTGTGTGGTTTGTCCTGTATCTCTGCCCCCAAACCTGGCCTGTGTGGAAAGGGCACAGGACGCACAGGCTCAGGAAGTGGTTTGGAGACTCCATGCTGGAGGCACAGGATGTTCACCTTCAACCTTGCTGAGTTTTGTGGGAAAACCAGCCAGAGCTACATAGTGAGATTCTCAGAATAAATAGATGAAAACTTATCTCAAAAACTATAAAAAGCAACAAGTCATGGGAGAAACTTGGGCTTCCAATTCCACTGACCAGCATCTTCCACAGGCAGAAACTAAAGGGTAGGGAGGTAGTGAGAACTGTAAGAGGCCACCGCCATCCAGAGGGGAACCAGCACAAGAAATACATGGCAGAAAGGAACAAAGTTGAGTTTGTCTGCACACTCCTTCGGGCTGATGAGGTTTGAGCTCAAGGAATTAGTTTCCCAGGCTTGGGAGATAAGATAGCTCAGTCTGCCAGCTGCTTGCCTTGCAAACACAAGGACCTGACTTGAACCCCCAGGACCCACATAAAACAACAAAAGGCAGAACATGTGATGGAGAAAGGGTCCTTGGGGCTCACTGAACAAACCAGGCTACCCTGCTCCAGGCAGTGAGACCTGCTCCCTGTTCAGAAAAGCTGACGGCAGGAAATACACTCAAGGTTGTCCTCCCAGCTACACACACACTCCACATACAATAAACCATACATGCACCACATGTAACATGCACTACACACATACACATGCCACACACACATACACACATTCATATGGTATATATATATATATACCATACACACATCACACACCACACATATACACAAATGCTTACAACATAAATACACACACCCCACACTTGCACATGTACACGTGCACATACATGCAAACATGCACACACATGCACAAACACTCAAATTTGTTTCTCGCCTTTAAGCAGAAAGGGAGGAAGGGAGGATCCTTACCACTGTTTGCTGTTCTCCATTGCCCCGGTTTTGCAGCAGTTTTGTTTATTTTTTACTTTATTGCAGTGTTGCGAGTGCACATCATGCTGTACCGGCTGTGAGGATCAGAGGACCAACTCCTGGGAGGCTGCTCTCTTTTCACTGTGGCTTCCCGGAGCTGAACTCGGCGTCAGGCCGGGTGGCATGTCCCTGAGTTTCCACACTGGCTTTGATCTATTATCTTTTAAAAGATTTTTATCTTATTTTTATGTGTGTGTGTGTGTGTGTGTGTGTACAGGTGCCCTCAGGAGCTAGAGGCTTTAGACCCCATGGAGCTGGAGTTATCGGTGGTTGTGGTCCGCCTGGCATGGGTGCTGGGATCTGAATCCAGGTCCTCTGCAAGAGCAGTACGTGCTCTTCACCCCTAATTTTATTTTCTGAGACAGGGTCTCACTATGCAGCCCAGGCTGGTCTCACTTGATCTTCCTTCTTGGATCTCACAAGGGCACTGACTGCCATGGCCAGCCTCAAAGATATGTTTTATGTTAGAGAAGCTTATTTGGAAGTGACACACTCTGCTTTTCTTCAACAAGGTACCAAAGAGAAAAAATAATGGGCTTAAAAAGTGAGGTTCCCAGGAACTGGCCAGACCAAGGCGGCGGTTTAAATCCTGTTTACCGGCTGTGTGGCCTTGAGCACGTCACTTCAGCTCTGTTTCAGTTTCTGTCTCTAGAAAGCGGAACCGAGCTAGTCTTGAGGATGTGATCCTGTAAGTCTTCTTTCTGTTACAGTGTCACCAGGACCGGAGGGGATAGTGGATTTGTGAACATTTCCTTATTCTTTCTTTTCTTGAGAACACAGGGTCTCACTATATAGCTCTGTCTGGCTTGGCACTCTAGGTGTAGACCAAGCTGGCTTTGAACTCACAGAGAGCTGCGGGCCTCTGCACCCTTAGTGCTGGGATTAAATGAGTGAGCCACCAGGCCAAGTAACATTGCCACATTGCCTTATTTTTTCTTTTCTTTTTCTTTTTTTTTTTTTTTTTTTTGTTTTGTTTTGTTTTGTTTTCTAAGACAAGGTTTCTGTAGCTTTGGAGCCTATCCTGAAACTAGCTCTTGTAGACTAGGCTGGCTCAAACTCACAGAGATCTGCCGGCCCCCTAACGCTGGGATTAAAGGCGTGCCCACCACCACCCGACTACATTGCCTTATTCTTACAGCAAGCATTTATTGAGCAGTTACTATATATATGCTGTTGGTTGAGACCTTCATGCGTGCAAGGCATTGTCCAAGCTCAGGAGTACGCGAAGAACAGTGTGTTTTGGGCGTGTTAAAGTGTGAGGCTTAGCACGCCTGCCTCTTACAAAGCCCCAGTACAGTCCCCGCCCCACCTCACCTAACCTTAGCCTAGAGCCTAGTGTACTGAACTCAGAGACTTGGTGTATTTCTAGGGCGGTCTGAGGAGGCGGAGCCTCGCTGTAAATATAAGGCCCTGTTCACCTTCTGTCTTGCTGCTGAGCTTGCACCGCATCTCATCACCCACAAGTAAGTAGGAAGCTGGGCGGTGAGGGCGGTGCCTGGGCAGAGTTGGCACCCCACCCCCAACCTCCATGAGGTCTTCATCGTGTTTTCTGTCTATCTCTCCTAGTGCCGCCTTACACCATCGTCTATTTCCCCGTTCGAGGTGTGGCCTTAGCGATTTCAAGATGAGGGGCACAAGCTGTAGTCCTCGGGGGTCGCTCTGGTTCTGGACTGCCGGGCCTGGGGGCGTGGCCAAGGCCGTGTTGGGGCGGGACTACAAGCTGTGGTTGTAGGGGCCAGGACTGCCCTGGCAGCATCCTCGGGCAGCCACATTTTGGCACGCTTCCTTTCCTGGGACGTTGTGGGTGAAGTTGGGTCCCCGCTCTCCATGATACTATTAGGGCTTGGCCTCTACTACATTTCTCCCCTCCCAACGAGGCCCCAAAGCTAGCGTTTCAGTTCAGTTCCCGTGTCTGCTTCCCACTCTTCCAAACTCCCGTCCTTTCACTGTTCCTCAGTTCCTGTCCTGTACCCCAACACAGGGCGCTGCGAGGTTATGCGCATGCTGCTAGCAGACCAAGGCCAGAGCTGGACGGAGGAAGTGGTGACTATGGATGCCTGGGGGCAGGGGACACTCAAGGCTTCCTGTGTGAGTGCCTACACTTCAGTGGGGATGGGGTTGGGGCGCAGCCTTAGGGTGCTGTGACTAGGGTTGGGGGCAGCCAGGGGCAGCACCCCTTACAGAGCTGTCTTCTCCCAGCTGTTTGGCCAGCTCCCCAAGTTCCAGGATGGAGACCTCACCCTGTACCAATCGAATGCCGTCCTGCGGCACCTGGGCCGCACCTTTGGTGAGTCCTGAAGCGCAGCATCTGACAAATGCCCTGGGGCTTCAGCTGCCTCACCTGCTGCAACCAATGTCTCACCTCGGTAGAGGGCAAGAGGGTTGCCCTAGAGGAAGGTTGCAGGCCCAGGTTCCAGAAGGCGCCTAGGTGTGTTCTGGGGCTGTCTGCACGCCAGGGGCTGTGAGTTTCCATGAAACCTGTATCATTTTTCCTAGATGACCTCTCTCTCATAAGAGGCGGGCCCCCAGTTTCTATGTGTGACAACGCAGTGGGGTAGAGACTTTCTAGTAGGCCTTTCTGTCCATTTCTTCCTCGCCTGGCCATACCCGAGTCAGGGAAACCCACCACCACAGCGAGGAGGCCTCGGCAGGAAGAATGGCAGGAAGGAGGCCGAGGCAACTATTCTCTGTGGGCCTGCTTAGGAAAGGGAGTGCCTGGAGTTTCATAACTTCTGCAGGGCTTAGAGAGCAGTCCGAGACCTTGAGCTGGGGCCTGCCACCTCAACTGCCTTGAGCATCGCAGGAAATATGTGGATAGCGGCCTTCACACTTCACTGTCTAGACCCCTAGACAGCCTGTTCTAGGGGAGGGACAAACCAGAGTCTTTGCCTTCCCTCGGTGTGACAGATGCGGCTCAGAAAACAGGCCTGGGCTTCAGTTGGTTGTGGCCTTGGGCTGACTGACCTTTATGAAGGTGGCGTGGCTGACGTAGGCAGGGAAGATCTCCAAAGCAAAGCTACAGAGTAGGGTCCAGAACCTGAGCCTGCTGCCTGCCTCCTGACCCAGGGCTCTACGGCAAAGATCAGCAAGAGGCAGCTCTGGTGGACATGGTCAATGACGGACTGGAAGACCTCGTCAGGCACATTGGCCAGGTTCTCCGTAACTATGTATGTAGGGCTACAGGCGAGTGCCCAGTAGGGTGGTCAGGAAAGGGAGATCACCTTGTGCAGTCTGGCTGTACGTCCCCAGCTGGGGCCATCATTTCTGTTCACAGGAGGAGGGCAAAGCCCAGTATCTGAAGGAACTTCCGGGACACCTGAAACCATTTGAAACTCTGCTGGCCCAGAACAAGGGAGGCCAGTCCTTCATTGTGGGTGACCAGGTGAGCACTGGATCAGGCCTTTCCCACTCTACCCCTTTCTCTGAACTGAGGCCAAGTTGCCTGATACAGCGGTGGAGGCGGGAAGTGTCCAGCGTTTGGCTTCATGGAGCTTCTCCCTCTGGCCCCAACTCAAGCCCTGTCATATACCCTCGTCCCATAGATTTCCTTTGCTGACTACCGACTGCTAGACTTGCTGCTGAACCACCAGCTCCTGTTCCCTGACTGCTTGAATGACTTCCCCTTGCTCTCGGCCTATGTGGCACGCCTCAGAGGCCGGCCCAAACTCAAAGCCTTCCTGGACTCCCCTGAGCATGTGAACCGCCCCATTTCTGCTCGCCTAAAGATATGAGCCCACCTGTCTCCCCCAACCCCTACCCATGGACCATTAAAAACCATAGCAGAGCCGGGCTGTGGTGGCGCACACCTTTAATCCCAGCACTTGGGAAGCAGAGGCAGGTGGATCTCTGTGAGTTCGAGACCAGCCTGGTCTACAAGAGCTAGTTCCAGGACAGGCTCCAAAAACCACAGAGAAACCCTGTCTCGAAAAACCAAAAAAAAAAAAAAAAAAAAAAAAAAAAAAAAAAAAAGTATGGCAGAAACCAGTGGTGGTGGTACATAGCGCCCCTTTCATCCCAGCAGGCAGAGGCAAGCAGGTCTCCGAGTTCAAGGCCAGCTTAGTCTACAGAGGACTTTCAGGCTACACAGAGAAACCCTGTCTCAAAAAACTTAGAAAAAGAAAGAGAAAAACAATAGTAGGAAGCTGAACTGGTCTTTAGGGGTAGGTGTGCGGGTACTGGTGACGTTCAGCAGGGTTGACTCCTAGGCCACTCAGGCTCAGAGCGCTGGAAGAAGGCCCTTGGGGCTCCAAGCCCTCAGGTCACACTGGAGGGCTCCCTGCTGGGAGGTGGTTGACCTTCAAACCCAGAGGTCCTTCAGCTGATAAAAAGACAGTAATAGCCTAAGGGTATTGGCTAGTTGTGGTCCCAGTCTGTGAACTGTTCTGGCAGACACTTACCCTCAGGACTGACACATGTACATACTTGGGTATATCACGTGTGCATTCGGAGGACTGTTGAATGTTCCTATCCCGTGTACAGGCAATGAGCAGGTCTCCTGTGCAAGGGTCCCAGGCAGGCCAAGGTCTTCCAGCTGATTTGAAATTGGGGACTTTTGGAGACTAGTGACTGGAATTTTGCTCTGTCTGGGAGGTGAGGCAGACTTTTGCACACCGGCGGAAAACGCTGGCCAGCTGCTGCTTGGGATGGAGCAGAAAGGGTAGATTCAAGGGGACTGGCCTCATTCCACAAAAAGGTTTGTCCTTTCCAGGATTGAGAGGGCTGGGAAACAAGAGGGCTTGGGTCTCAGCCTGAGGGTGAGGTCTCCAGCCTGAGATCAGGGATCAGCTCAGAGAGTAGGTTTAACCCAGGGGCCAGGGCTCACCGTGAAAGAGCAGGTTTTAGGACTGGAATCAGGATTCAGATCAGGGATCAGGACTTAGTCCAGGGATTAGAGTTCGGACCTGGGATCAGGGCTTAGCTCAGGGATGAGGGTTCAGTCCTGGGATCAGAATTTATCCCTTGCCTTGCACTCCTCAGCTACATCATGAAGGCAGGACATCTATGGGAATTTTCCACCATCTCTCCCAGGGTTACTTCCTCAGCCACTTGTCCTGAAGACTCTATACCCCGAGGGCACTTGGCTAGACTCAGCCACTCCCACCTGGTCCCCAAAGACTCTCTTATACCCTGGGGGCACTCGGCTAGACTCAGCCACTCCCACCTTGTCCTGAGAACTCTATACCCTGGGGGCACTGGGCTAGACATCAGCCACTCCCACCTGGTCCTGAGGACTCTATACCCTGGGGGCATGCCTGCTAGACTCCTCTCCCCTGCAGCTCTCACCTGTGCTTTGGCCCTTGGAAATGTAGCCGCCCCTCTCTGAGTGTGTTCTCTTTCACACTGAGGCCAGAGCTGGAATTTGCACCCAGGCAGGTGGCCACTAAGCCCCAGAGACTACGTTTGCAAATGTTCCCTGGACAAGTACAGCGGCTATTTAAAACATTCATGGTAGTTACATTTTAAATACGCAGGCTGAAGTCAAGCGGTACAAATTTTGGGTCACGTCCAAACCCCGGCAGCCTGGGTGTTTGCATCAGGGCTTGGAAGGCTGCACATCGGTTTTTATAAAACTGGGGGCAGGGGGACAAAGTTGGGGCGAGCTCCAGCCACAAGTCTCTTCTCATGCTACCCATGGACATTCCAACCCCCAAACTGCCTAGTGCTTCTCTGTTTGGCAGCAAACACCCCGCTATCAGCTTTGGACAGAGGCCAGAGGGAGGAGCTCTGCTTTGCCTGCCTGCATGGTTATTTCCTGCTACAAGACAGAAATATGGCCCTGGATCCATGGGCGCAAGCTTTGTTGCTTCCAATCAACTTGTTTCTGTCCTGGTCCTGGTTCTTCTCAGCAGGAGAGAAAATCACAAGAAGACTTTTGCTCCTGGGATTGCTTTGATCTTAAAAGTATGGTGACCACCTGATGTAGTGGCCTCTCCCAGGTTCAGGTCCAAGAGTCTTAGGCCTTCCCACAGATCTGCCTAAGCTGTTTTTGTGGAAAGTTACCATTTTGCAAGTTTGAAGCAATGCTTTTTCCTGCTGTTCCAAAAATAGGGTGAGCACGACCTTTGCCTCATAAACTTGGCCGCAGGAACAGTTGCACACACATTTGGGATGGCTGCCCAGTTCCAACCTGGCAGCCGCCCGGCAGCTCTTCTCTCTGCTGCACGTGAGTCCCCAGTATCTCCTCCTGTGCTGGGCCTTGCCCTCTAGATGCAGGATTAACATGGGACCTGCGGTTAGCTAATCACAGAGCCCCAGCTCTGGCTGTAGGGATGGGTGCAGAGATGAGCTCCCAAGGCACAGAACTGAGCCTTTCTGAGTCGTCTCTGACCGGCTACCCCACCTCCCTGGCACCGTTGGTCGGAGGCCAGGAACGCCCCCACTGTGCCCCTTACTTCACCCTCCTCTGCAAGGAGCCTCCTCTGAGGTGGAGGTGGGTTGGAGTTGGGGCTTCATTCTGGTCACTTAAATAGATACCTCAATCCTAACTGTTCTCCTTCTTGCCCTCCCTGCCCTCTTCTTCCTCTTGCTGTCTTGCCTCTCTTCGCCATCCAAGTAGGATAGGAGAGACTTTAGATTCTTGGCTCCAGGCTCGAGATGCTGACTTCACCCCATCCTTCTCCTGGGTGGTGGTGTGAACCACAAATGCTTCCCTTTGAAAATACAATTTGTGCCGGGCGGTGGTGGTGCACATCTGTAATCCCAGCACTCAGGAGGCAGAAGCAGGTGGATCTCTGTGTGTTCGAGGCCAGCCTGGTATACAGAGTGAGTTCCAGGACAGCCAGGGCTACACAGAGAAACCCTGTCTCGAAACACAAACAAACAAACAAATAAATAAAGGGTGAGGACTGAGTTCCACCCCAGAACCCACGTAAAAGCCGACTGTAGCGGCCAGGTGCTGGAATTCCCAGCAATCGTGAGACAGGAGGGTGAAAACCTGGTGGGTCCCTGGAGTTCACTGGCCTATTTTTTTAAAAATAAAAAATGTAAACCATCATAGCTGAAGGAATTTATATGTGTGCACACACTCGCACACATGTGCATGTGTGTTTAGTGCTAGGGATGGAGCCAGGAGTCTTACAACGCTAGAAAAGTACAATGCTACTGAGTGAAGACTGTATATCTTGTATTGTGACCTCACAAAGTCAGAGACCACCAGGAGCAGATGGATAAAATGTCACTGGAAAAACCTGCGTGTGGCATGGTATCCCCCGCCTACTTCCCCTCGATCCTTAAATAATGAGCTGTCTGTAAACCAGCCACAAGAGGGGGAAAGTGTGCTTATTGGTCCTCTCTTGGCTTTCTGTGTGGGGTCATTAGAAGTCATCATCAATTGGAAGACAGCGCTTCCACACCACACCATGAGGTCAGGCTGTGTGTACTGACAGGTGTTGAGACAGGTCTACGACGTAGCCCAGACTGGCCTTGAACTCCTGCCTCAACCTCACAGGTGGTGGGAAGACAGGCACGTGGCATCCTCTGCCGCTGGCACTGTAAGCCCTAGAGCCTGTCTCCTGGGAAGGGGACACTCAGAGGATACCTCCTCCCATCTCAGGGCTTGGGCTGTGGAATCTGGAGGTTACTATTGTTGTGAGAGTATGGGTATGTAACCGTGAGGTGTCCGCCAGTCCATCCAGATGACCCCGGGTTGTGACTGAGTAAGGAGAGTGTCTAAGCATTAGCTGCCATCATCGGAAGGCTCTGCCCCTGAATCTGAATGTATCTCATTCATACAGAACCCAGTGTGTGAACGAGAAGGAACGGTGGGGCTGGGAAGGCAAATCAGTCAGAGTGTTTGCCACACAAGCACTGGACCCCAGTCCGAGTGGGTACTGAGTCCCAGGATGTAGGAGGCTTTTTCTTTTGGGACACCAACCAGTTCCCAAATCACAACATGAAGACTTCTTATTAGTTATGAATACTTGGCCTTATCTCATGTTTGTCTCTTATAACTTAACCTGTTTCTTTTCATCTATATTTTGCCTCGGGGCTTTTTACCTTTCTTTCTTTCTTTCTTTCTTTCTTTCTTTCTTTCTTTCTTTCTTTCTTTCTTTCTTTCTTTCTATATCTTACTTTCCTGTTGTCTCCAAGTCTGGCGCCAGCTGCCTGGCTTCTGGCAAAGAGTGTGGACTCTTTTTCTAGTTCCCTCTGGAGCCTAGATCTCTCCTCCTTACTCTCCCTGCCTGCCAGCCCCGCCTATCCCTCTCTTGCCTAGCTATTGGCTGCTTAGCTTTTTATTAGGTCAATCAGGTGCCTTAGGCAGGCAAGGCGAAACAGAACACATCTTTACATAATTAAACAAATGGCAGCAGAAACAACCTTTGCCTAGTTAAAATGATATTCCACAATGCCAGTGTCCATGTAGAATGCCAGACACTGGGCACATATACCTGTCACCCCAGTGCTGAGAAGGCCGGACCTGGAGGGTCCCGAAGCTCAGGGGCTACCTAGTCATCAAATCAGTAAGCTCCAGGTTCATGGAGAGTTCTGCCTCAAAAAATAAGGTGGAAAACAACAGAAGAAGTACCCTGCATCAACCCCCTGCCTCCACACACAAGCCTGTGCATACCATACACACACACACACACACACACACACACACGATAGAGAATTAGAAAAACTTGTTCTCTGAAGAACAAATGTTTTGTAGGCTTCTTTGGTCTTGATTTGTGAGGTTCCACTTCTTAAAAACAGTAAAAGGGTCATCAAGCCCAGCACAGTGACATTTGCTTGTAGTTGTAGCAGTAGGCATGTTGATGAAGGAGGATCATGAGTTTGAGGCCAGCGTGGATTACATGAGACCTCCAAAAAGAAAGAGAAAAGAGAAATTACATACAGGAAAACAAACAAAATATTAGGGCAAGAGCTCAGTGGTAGTGGCGCACACCTTTAATCCCAGCACTGGGGAGGCAGAGGAAGGCGGATCTCTGTGATTTCAAGGCGAGCCTGGTCTACAGAGTGA